GCACAAATGGAGTTTCATGTGCTTGTGCAAGTGCCCGCTTCCCGTGCAAATGTTTGCACGGAACCATTTCCTCCTACCCACACACACACCAGTCCACAAAACCACACACACACACACACACCAGTCCACAAAACCGGAAAGGTTAGGGACCACTGTGGTAAAGAACCGATATTCTTTTTATTGGGTCTATGGCCATTGGAGGTTTAGAATGTTCTCACAGAGCAGTTTGCATAGCAAACATAAATTGAAATCCTCTTAGGATATGGAAAAGAAACTTGCAATGTATTTGTTATGCTTGTTCCAATCATTTCTTTCTTTTTTTCGTTTTCCCTCCTGGGACTTTATATAAAACTATGTAGTAACAGGGGAAAAAAAAAAACAAGCAAACACTTACCATCATCATTCTGGGCCAAGCAATCTATGAAGGCAACGGAAACTGCAATGCTTATCGCTAACCATTTTGAAAAGCCAGGCTGCTGTAGCATTTTATGTCACGCTTCAATCAAGAGAAAGCTAGAAAAAAGAGAGGGTTTATGATTAATATATTATTATTATTATTATTATTAATAATAAAACTGTGCGTAAATTAACAAGAGCACTTTTTCATCCAGGAAATGATTCCAAAATGACCTGTTTTTGCAGTTTGAGAAAACAAGGCTATGGGGGAAAAAATAGCATTTTAAAAAACCTCAATCCATTAACATAGCCTTAAATTATCCTTATTCTGAATTACCCATAGGTTAAAACTCTGCAATGGAAAACTCCCCAATTATCCACATTTTGGGGAAAGATATTTCCTCCTTTGTAACTTGTCCCTTCATTTCTTGTAATGCTTTTAACAAGCCAAAACCATTCAGTTCTCCCCCCCCACCCCGTTTTTTAGTGTGTCTACTTATGGAAAAAATGAGTGGTTTGAACTTGTCCTCTCGTTGTCCATTAGAGGACACAATCACAATGCCAGCTTTTACCATTAGCCCCTCAACCATATTGACTGAGAGGGTTTCCATTTGTGTTACTAAAACGATACAGGAGGGCACTGATTTGACCACTGCAATTTCAGATATATCAACAGCGTTGTGAAAATTAGACTTGGGAAATTATTGAGCTAATGCATGCGGCAAATTTTGACCGCTGAAAGCGTACAGTATCAAAATTGCAATGCATAATACATTAGTCCCACTCAAGCAGACTGTTGTTACAAGCTGCTTTTGGATATACAGGTACTCCTCGATTTAAAACAGTTCATTTAGTGACTGTTCAAAGTGACATGATCACCCAAAAAGTGACTTATGACCATTTTTATAAAGCCGAGGTGGCGCAGTGGTTAAATGCAGCACTGCAGGATACTTCAGCTGACTGTTAGTTCGGCAGTTCGGCT